CAAATTTAGTCCACAGTAGTACCAAATTCCAAAATTTTTCAATCCTACACTTCACAGTGATCCTAAATCCATGTTTCAGGATTCTATGCTACAGAATTGTACCAAATTTAGTACATTTTCGTACTTTTCGGATAGTTATAGTTCGAATTTCCAAAAAACCCCTTTGGTACATCTATCCTACACTCCATCAACGACCACCAAACCAAATTTCATAGTTCTAGCTCCACAGGTTCGCCAAATACAAAAACATTTTAGTACGTTTTAGTATTTTTCGTACCGTTCTAGTACGAATTTCCAAGAACCCAGCCTTATCTGTCACCTTTGGACCAATAGTGACCCTCACCCAAAGTTTCAAGATTCTATCTTCAGCCGTTTCGTTTGAGCGTTGATGAATCATTAAATCAGTCAGTCAGTCAATCACTTCACTCTTTTATTAGTATAGATTAAATTTGTACCAAATATAGTAGGGGAGAGGGGGGCACCTTTGAACACTTTTTGCTTTCAAGCCCTATAAAATTTTTTATTTTATAATTTTTGGTTTTTTATAAATTTTAACTAATAGGTACATATGTAACCTTTACAATGAATATACATATGAAATACTATAAGCTTGATAAATATATTTTATTACTGTTTTAATGGACGAACTCAAAGTGTTCAAAACTGCCCCACCAGGGGGGCAGCTTTGAACAGGGGTTGGCATTTTTGAACGACATGGTTTTTTACAGTGTTTATGTTCAAATATGTATGTATTTTATTCATACATATCAGAAATGCATTAATTCATTAAAAAAATATATAAAAAATGTTCAAAATTTAAAAAATTTAGATCAAAAGTTATTAAAACATAAAATGACTTAAAAACAAAAATTAATATGATGAATAATACACTTAATTTCATAATCTTATTAGCCCATTTGAAATTTTGAGAAATCGAAGCCAAAAGTTAAAAACTCCCTTGGGCATGTTCAAAGGTGCCCCACCCATGGCATTTTGCGGAAATTTAAAATAACTTTTTTTGTAATAAATATATATGAAAGAAATTATATTAGTTATGTTTGAAATGATTGTTGGAATGCAAAAAATTTGTTTGACGAAAGAAAACTATCACAGAATTCTTCCTGCGCCCTTACAACCAAATGAATAAAAGTTTACAATGACACTGAGAAAACATGGTCACCCATGCACAATTTTTCGACAACTGAAAAAGCAAGCAAAAGTGGTTTACGCATATAGAGAATAAGATTGCCATATACAAAAATGTGGTTGCGGGTCGGAAAAATATTAAACCAAGATTTTATGAGCGCTGTTCAAAGGTGCCCCACGTTCAAAGGTGCTCCCCTCTCCCCTACAATATAGTACTTTTCGTACACATGAGTACACGCTTTCAAAACAATCTCCTTAAATAGACTCTACATCTCAACCCTAATTCGCATTCCACATTTCAAGTTTTTAGCTCTATCCATTCACATGCTACTAATTTGTACCAAATTAAGTACATTTTAGTACTTTCGGATAGTTATAGTTCCAATTTCCAAAAACCCGTTGCTACACCTATCCTACACTCCATCAGCGATCACCAATCCAAATTTTAGAGTTCTAGCTCTACCGGTTCGCCAAATACAAATGGTATCACATTTAGCACTTTTCGTACCGTTCTAGTACGAATTTCCAAAAACCCAGCCTTATCTGACACCTTTGGACCAAGAGTGACCCTCACCTAAAATTTCAAGATTATAGCTTCTAGTAGAGATGATTTTATTGTTACCTCTTTTTTTCGTTCGTGTATAATTATTTGTTTTGCTTTGTTTGTTACTGTTTAATAAGAACAGCTTGGCATCATCAACTATTCAAAAAGCGCCTAAAAGTATGTCACACAAATAAACAGTAATATTACAGAGAGAGACCTACAAACCTGACATGGATGTCAAACACTGACACAGTTAAAATAGGTGGTAGACTATGAATGAGGGGACGAAGGAGGAGGATAAGTTATTGAATAGAACAATTTTTTGAAACCTTATTTTTTCAAACTAAACAAGGGGAAAACAGGTCAAGAGAGGAGTGATAATGGGATAAGGAGAGTAGAAGAAAAAATAGCACATTATTTTTCTACTACTACAGTTGTGTAGGTAGTGCTATTTTTCCCTCAATGATGGTGACCTACTGACCTCATTTTCTTCATAAACACATTTTGTTTTTTTTTTTTTGCAATCGGCCGCCTGCCTTCAATGTTCTTGTTATGTTTGCTGTCGCGCTGCTGTTGGCGTCGCTGCCACTGCAACAACCTTCTCTGCCATCCGTGATGTCTTTATCGTCATTGCAACGCGCGCCCCAATGCACGCTCTTGAAATGGACGAAGAAGGGACAGACGGACGGACGGCCAAACGTTTGTTAGTTGCATTGAAATTGTTTCACACACACATATAAATACACACAAAATTGCAACATTGACGTCAACACAACATTTTCGCCAGATTCTTTACAAAAATGCAAAAAAAAAAAAAAACGAAACAAAATTTGAATGCACTCACGTTCAACAAAAAATTTTGATGGTTTAGATGTTTGTGCGTGTGTGTGTATGCAAATTGTGAGAGTATGCAGTTTTGTGTCATCTTAAGATTGTGTTTTTTGCCCCTTTTTTGGATCCTTTGTAAATATTGAAATTTATTAAAAAGTTTTCTTTACCTTTAGCATGGGTGGAGGGTGACCAAGTTGGATTGAGATTAGAAAAAACTGAAAAACTGTGAAAAAATAGGATTTAAAAAATAGGCGAACACATTACTATGTGGAGCTGTAGCAGTATAGTTGGAACAGCCCGTCGAGTGTGGTTGTATGGCGACTTTAGCCAACAAGCCGATGCTTCCGATTCAGAAAAAGTACTTTAAGGTCGCGAGGAAGTTGCAACTATCGTTGCAAGATCACTAGAGAACTTGCGGTTCATCGAATACCTACTTCGCGTAAAGTGTCCGAATCTTTCTCAAGTAAACAATCCACTCTGTACAGTAACAGAGTATGGTGCTAACACGAGTCTGAAGTCAGTAGTTTTGTCAGCCGAAAGGAGTCCCGAGAAGAAACAAAAGTCGTGAGGGAGAATACCTACTGCCTCTGGCTACTTCTGCGGGATAGCCACTAAGGCGATGGTAAAGAATAACCACTGTACAGTATAAGATTATGGGTCGGCAAACACGGACCTGATGGTCATGGTTGTGTCAGCGGCACCATCGGCGACTATAGCGGAAACTGTACCGAATAAGATAAAAACCGTCACAGCCCCAATGACAATGACAAGTGTACGATAGTGCCCAAGAAGAAGGACAGTGAGAAGAACGCCATTGGGAAGCGAAACTCGGACCTATTGATAAGTCCACACAGCAATCTACAACGACTGAATCGGTTACTCGGCAGATGGTAACAGATAATCGGAAAGTAGCCATCATTGACAAGGCTGATCCCAATAAAAGAATCAATGATAGTCATTGGTCTCTAATGGGTTTACGATCCGAAACGACCCGAGTCTTACTCGGCCAACGTCTGTCACCTCAGCCCATTGTGTAAAAGCAATAGGAGGGCTGCTACAACAACAACATTGGTCTCTAATCGACCGTCATTATACTGACGAGATTTAACAATAACCCATCAATGTAATTACTCTGTATAAAGGACGTCTCCGCCTTTGGGGAGCAGAGCTAAATGCTAACGGAAGCGTCTGTTAGAATTTAGCTATCCGTGCGGATAGTGGAAAGCCCAATATTATTATTCTTTGATTAACTGTGAATACTAAATAAACTGTCGCGGGTCTAGGGGAGATTATCGGAGAAAATGATCGAGAGTGGCGCCTCTAAATATCCATCTCTAAGGTCTGGGTCACTACCTCTCAAAAGTGATCCCCCTAACGCTGAGGTGTCATGCGACCTCGTGCTCATCAGTGTTCGACGCTTTGCATTCAGGGTCCCGACTGCATTCGAACGGAGCCTTTGTTGAAACATGGGCGTCTCAACAAGTTTATTCAGGCTTAGTTGCCGAGTCCTTACCATGGTAAGAGACAATGCAGAGGCCTACCTCAAATTCTCACTAAAATTAATTTCTATGGAGCTGAATTTTAACAACCACTATCTCCATCTCCACGGGCTGAGGTAAAGTCTCCAGACTTCTTAGTCAGTTGGCTGTCAAAACGGAGACTGTGGCCGATGAGCCTCCCATCGAAAAGATGGTTGAATCATCAGAACCAGGAACTGCTAGGCGAGCCAAGGCAAAGATATCTCTGCAAAGAAGATGTACCGGAGAGGGGTTAACTACTACAACCGTTTCATCGGGACAGGGACTCAGTAACAAATAAGGAGTTTTTTTTTGTCAAGAGGGACCTCAAATTCGTTCGAAAGTTTGGTATTTGGCAATTTTTGAGAATTGATGACAATCTAAAATACCAAATTCCTAATCCCAATCCAACTTGGTCAAATATTCCAAAACACTTAACTTTTTTTCTGTTTATACTGCGCGTTTTGTGCTAGACTAAGAACTTTCCGAACTGCCCTTGTATGGTACAACTCATGGTTCATTCGACGGCGATATTTACCGCCAACGAAGATCGGCCCATAGATCTATCGAAGAATTTTTCTCTTGAACACTCCAAGAGCTGTCTCATATGCTTGCGCATGTACCTATGCTTCAGACCCCCCATATAACTGCACGGGTAGTATATAAAAATAACTTTGCTTATATATTGTGGTCTTGAGAATTGTGTTTTTTTCCCTCACATTTTTATTACAGTGTCAATACATTTTTTCGAAAAATTTAATAATTTTTTTCTTCTATTTTTTAGAATTGAATGAAAAGAATTTAAAAGGATTTTATACTGGCCGTTGGATTAACATTTTCTAAAGATTTGTGCCCCGCTACTTTTCTTTTTTGCAAATTGGAAACTATAAGCAACAACGGAGCCGCCTATTTATAGTTGAATATATTTGCAGGCCACCCTCAAACCTCTCTCTCTTCACTCTCAATCAATCAGAATCAAAAACAAACCAACAAAACATGTCTTCACCGAGCGCTGGCAAACGACGCATGGACAATGATGTCATCAAATTAATCGAATCGAAACATGAAGTTACCATCATTGGTGGCCTTAATGAATTTCATGTGAAATTCTTCGGGCCCCATGGGACCCCCTATGAGGGTGGCGTCTGGAAAGTTCGTGTCTACCTGCCCGACAACTATCCCTTCAAATCGCCCAGCATAGGCTTTGTAAATAAAATCTATCATCCGAATATTGATGAATCGTCTGGGACGGTGTGTTTGGATGTGATCAATCAGGCATGGACCGCCCTCTATGATTTGTCGAATATTTTCGAATCATTTTTGCCACAATTGCTCACATATCCAAATCCCGTGGATCCACTGAATCGTGATGCAGCCTCCCTGTATTTACACGAACCCGAAGAGTATCATCGTAAGGTTGCCGATTATGTACAACGTTTTGCCACCGAAGAAGCATTGCGGGCCGCCCAGGTGGAACGCGAAAGCAGTGACAGCGAGTCGAGTATGTCAGATTATAGTGAGGACGAGGCAAGAGATATGGAGTTATAATACCGGTTTTTAATTAAGTTTTAATTTAATAAAATAATCAATAAAATAAATATTAATAATAATTATGATAAAAAATAATAACAAAACAAAAATTAAAAGAAAAATATATACAAGAAAAACAAAACACAAATATGAATTTGAAAATAATTGCAATAATTAATAAAAAAGCAAAAACAAAACAAAGAAAAATAAGAAATTTTAGAGTAAAACAAATTTATCCGAATGAAATCCAATCCCCAAAAAACCCGTAATCAATGCAAACAGCAGATATAATGAAAAATAATACTTTTTTTGAAATTTAGTTTTTTTTCTCAGATTTCTTGAAATAGTTTTGATTTTTTGTAATTAATAAATTTTCTTAACAAAAAGTTTTGTAATCTTTTTCAACACACTAACTATATAGAAAGCAAAAAAAGTAAATAGCCAATTTTAGCAGTTGTCTGGATTTTTTGTAAAGAAATATATTTAAACTTGAAAATAACAACAACAAATTTTGTTCTACAACACAAGACAAATATTCAAACACAACCCCCTCCCTTATTTTTGTAAACCCGCTACCATTTTATTCGTTTTTTTTAATAAGTTACAAAATTACACGGTGTCAATTAACAATGTCGGTCCACAATATAATCCCCCTATAATATTAAACTCCCAAAATTATAAGCAGGTTTTCTAAAGGAACTGGCTGTAATTTGGTATTTTGGATTCGCATTGGGTGACAACCCTTATTTACTAAATTATCGGTCCATGTTTCAACAATCGTTTCGTCCAAAAAATAGTATCCTCTTATATTCGATATTTTGAGTCATTCATTGTGTGACAAAATAATTGATTAGTTGGAGATATCGAATCGTGTTTAGAATAGTCATGATAAATGATTCCCTATGATTGCCGAATATATCCCAAAAGTCTGACTAAGTGAGACCAACACTAAAAAAAGTTATTCAATTTTCATAATTTTTTGAAGGAAGACAATCCAAACTTTCAAACTGTTTGGTATGGAAAATTCCACAAATTTAACGTAATTGGGCGCAGTCTTAAAAAGTGGACAATATTTTGAGTATGAATGGGAATCCAAAACACCAAATTATAGACATATATAGACATTTCGGTTGAAAAAAGTTTTCAAACCCTCCGAAAATGCTAAACATTTTGGAGGTACCAGTATATGAGGTCTAAACTGAAACTTAGGACTATATTGAAATGTTTTTGTGGGTACATTCTACCCAAATGAGATTCTAAAATACCAAATTATAGTCATTTCGATTAAAAACCGTGCATAGAATCCTTAAAATACGGAATTTTTTGAGGTACTGGTATATGGGGCTTGCATGAAGTTGACCCAGGTTGATAATGAGAATACCAAATCAAAACCAAATCATCTTATATTCTATACTTTGAGTCTTCATTTGGGTGAAAAAAATAATTGATTAGTTGGAGAACATGCTTTAGAAGCGATTTTAATGGATAAAGTTATGGGAAGCAAACAACAGGCAACTGCATATGTTCCAACTACCTACATTTCTTTGAGCAATTTTGGTTCAGATAGTCCTTTTAAAAATATTCCTAGTCCTTTAAAAAATATTCCTACAATGCCCTGAAGAGCATTGACGCCTTTTTAATTAACCTCTGATGGCGATTCTATTTTCTAGGCTATGATTATTCTTGGAAAAATATTTTTCAAAAAATCAGGGTCCTTGATAGTCCTTAAATAGTATTTTTAACCATTTTTTAAGAAAACTTTTTTAGAAACTTGAATAAAATATTTTTTTTAATGTAGGGATGATCCATTAAAATCTATGTTTTTCAAAAAAAAAAAAAAACAATGTGGACTCTATTTCTTCTTGAAATTAAATGAAATTGTAACAGGCAAAAGGAAACGAGTTAGACACATGGTTCCTTTTGAGAATATACATAGAATCACTTTCTGAGTCGATTTATGCACGTCCCTACGTATGTCCATGTTAAATTGTAAACAAAGTACAGGTCGCATTTATGATCCGAATCGGATAAAATTTAGCACAGTTCATTTATTTTGCCCAATGACGAACTCTATTGAAATTGGGATTTTTAGATTTAGATATAGCTCCCATATATATTTTCGTCCGATTTAAGGTAAATGGTACACAAAAGTCCCAAAATATATTTCGATTTCCACAAAATTTTGCATAGCGTATTGAATTAAGCCTATAATGATGTGTGCTAAGTTTCGTGGAAATCGATTCAGATTTAGATATAGCTCCCATATATATTTTCGTCCGATTTAAGGTAAATGGTGCACCAAAGTCCCTAAATATCTTTCGATATGCACGAAATTAATTATAGAATTATGTATGGTAAGTTTCGTGAATATCGGTTCAAATTTAGATATAGCTCCCATATATATTTTAGTCCGATTTAAGGTAAATGGTGCGCCAAAGTCTCTAAATATCTTTCGATATGCACGAAATTTGGCATAGCGCACTAAATTGTGTCTAAAATTATGTGTGAAGTTTCGCGGAAATCGGTTCAGGTTTAGATATAGCTGCCATATATATTTTCGTCCGATTTAAGGAAATGGTGCACCAAAGTCCCTAAATATGCACGACATTTGGCATATAGCACTAAATTATGTCTAAAATTATGTGTGTTAAGTTTCGTGGAAATCGGTTCAGATTTAGCTATAGCTATAGGTGAACCAAGCTCCCTATATACCTTTCGATTTGCACGAAATTTGACATAGCGTACTGAATTGAGTCTAGAGAAGCTAAGTTTCGTGGAACTCGGTTCAGATTCAGATATAGCTCTCATATATAATTTCGTCCGATTTAAGGTAAATGGTGTACCAAAGTCCGTAAATATCTTTCGATATGCACGAAATTTGGCATAGCGCACTAAATTATGTCTATGTGTGTTAAGTTTCGTGGAAATCGGTTCAGATTTAGCTATAGCTCCCATATATATGTTCGTCCGATTTAAGATAAATGGTATATATTTCGTTCAATTTCATATCAATGTTCCTTCGAAAAGGGAACGTCTGTTAGGAGTCTATGTAGAATATACCCAAAGTGGTGAAGGGTATCATATAATCAACCCTGTACGACTTTACTACTTTCCTTACTGTTTTTTTTTTTAATAAATACTATGATGAACCTAAGAAAATATTCTTGGAAAATATGGTCCCTAGTGGTTCTTCCAAAATGTTCTTTAAGGAAATGCCATCGATAGAACTCAAATCGGTTATACAATTAAGACTTGACTTTAAAATATTTGCCTTTAAAAAATTGTCTCCCTGGATCATTGGAAAAATATGTTTTTATTGTGGTGGTTCTTGATTCTTTAAAGTACTGCCGTCTATTGCTAATAGAACTCAAATCGGTTATATTACCCTTAGAAAGTTCTCCAATAGTTGTTTAGCTTTCTTGGGTAATAATTTTAACAAAATATTGTACCAAACTCTTCAACTTCTTTTGAAAATTGACATCATGTTATTTTGTTGTTTTGGACACCGTGTTTTTTTGTTGTTGTTGTTTTTTTATTATTTTATTTTTTTTTTGTAATTTACTAAAAAAATTTTTAGTTTTAATAGGTTTGGTTAATTTTTTGTTTCAATTATTTTCAAATTCCTTGTCATAATTATTAGCTTTTAATAAATATAGTTGTATTCTCCTCCTATTACTATTCTGTCTTCTACTCTAATTCATATCACAACGTTACTAATAATAGATATTTGGAAATTCATAGTAATAATTTTTCCACCATTTTGTTATAATTTAATAACATTTTTATATATATGTTATTACTTCCCAATTATTTTCTCTCTATACACAGTTTTCGAAATCCAAAAAATAAAATTGCAATTTTTCTCCTCTAATTTTTTTTAATAATTTAAGTCCCCTTTTTTAATGTTGTTTTGTTTTTTCTAATTTTTCCCCAAATAATCAATAACAAAAAAATATCCTCTTCTCATACATATATATAAATAATCTATAGATATATATTATTGTCTCTCTTTTCCCCCATTATTTTTTTGTTGCAGCTTAATAAAGTCTTCGTCTTCTTCTTATCTCGTTTTAATTAGTTTAGAGTTAAATATATATTTTTTAAATAAAAAACGTGTTGTTTCTTCTCCTTATTTTTTTCCAATTTTTATTAAAGTGTACTTTAGTATGTAACTTAAAAAAAAAAAAAACAATTAAAAAGTAAAAACAATTACGTTTAATAATAATAAATATATATAAACATATTTTGAAATTAAAGTTAAGAAGTTAAGTAACAAAATAATATTAATGAAACAAACTAAAAAAAAACAAAACCACAAAAACAAAGAATGAAAAAAAACAACAAAATACATATATAAAAGAAAAACATGTGTAATGTGTTTTTATTTTTAAAGGAAATGGAAATGAGGAATCATATCGATGAAAAATTTTTATACCCTTCACCACACTGTGGTACAGGGTATTATGTCTTTGTGCATATGTTTGTAACAGGCAAAAATAATCGAGATAGACCCATGGTTCCTTTTGAGAATATGCATAGAATCACTTTCTGAGTCGATTTATGCATGTCCGTCCGTCTGTCCGTCTGTAGATGTAAATTGTAAACAAAGTACAGGTCGCATTTATGATCCGAATTGGATGAAATTTGGCACAGCTCATTTCTTGGGCCAAAGGACGAACCCTATTGAAATTGGGAAAAATCGGTTCAGATTTAGATATAGCTCCCATATATATTTTCGTCCGATTTAATGTAAATGATCCCTATATATCTTTCGATTTGCACGAAATTTGGCACAGCGTAATGAATAAGGTCTAGAATGATGTATGCCAAGTTTCGTGAAAATCGGTTCAGAGTTAGATATAGCTCCCATATATATCTTCGTCCGATTTAAGGTAAATTGTGTACAAAAGACCCTATATATCTTTCGATTTGCACGAAATTTGGCACAGCGTAATGAATGAGGTCTAGAATGATGTATGCCAAGTTTCGTGAAAATCGGTTCTGATTTAGATATAGCTCCCATATATATCTTCGTCCGATTTAA